AATCGGCGAAATCAAGTGTGAAGATTAAAAAATAAATTAAAAACATCTCATTTTGACAATAAAAACCGACCAATAGGCGCGGTAGACCATTTGCTTGGCACTTCCGGGTATTTCTCCACTGGTTGGGCCATGTTAACAATACCGTGTAACTGTCACGTTTGAAGGGACGAAACCGTGACATATTCACGTCTCCCAGCATGGTAGATCGTCACATGTTCACGTCTTGCCGTGATACCGGGTTGGGTATAACATGGGTGATGTTAGCATAGCAACCGAAGCTAAACTGACTACTTGCTAAGCCGTTTTCTCCAGGCACATTTTACCGGCGTATTTTTCATTATGATTCTACTTGTGATAGTCGGACATGACAACCTGTACAGCCCATGTATTGATTCCATCCGATAGCTGCTATAATAACAAACAAAACGTCTGCCTGCTCTCCACAATGATCAATAACAGCGAACGGATGGTCAAAGTAAGGTTTCCTGCACGCCTTGACGTAAGCGACGCCGCGTCATAGCTCCAAAGCTCTTGCCTCTGGACCGACAACCTTTTGGAGCTGGAAGTGAACCGCATTCCGGAGCTATGACGCGCCGCCGCTGCGGTGTGAACAGGAAAAAACTGCGCTTTTCAGGCTCTAGCTCCCAGCAGGAGCTGGAAAAGCGCCGGTGTGAAAGGGGCAAGAGAGGAAAGGGAGGAGATACTCTATAGAGCCAGGTGTGTGTGTTGATGCACTGTGGAGGTGTTGCAAGCCCTGACAATATGTGGGTCAGTTAAATTATCACCTCCATCCATCTCAAACTTTACATTAATTAGGAAATTAATGTTAAAGGGGACCTATCATGCAAAATGCCCTTTTTAATGTCTTTTATACATAAATATGTGTCCCCGGTGTGTCAGGGAACTCACGCACTGCCAGAAAATAAAACCCTCTGAAGAGAAAAACGGGGGTACAACGGAGCTGATCCAGATTTGCGTCCGATATGACGTAATATCGGCAATGCGGACCCACGGCACTATGAGAAAGTTGCTATCAGAAACAATGCCCGACTGTTTTGGACGTAATATGGTCTTTGTTTACATTAGCAAGCGTCGCTAACACTCAGAGCTAACTTGTACTGGAGAGAATATGTGTAAAAAAGCCAGATATAAAAAGGAACTCACCTTGAGAAAAACCTGCGAGAGAAAAAAAAAAAGTATAAATATGCCTTATATAGGTATGGTCCTACACTATATTATTCAAATATAGCATGATAGGTCCACTTTAAACAACATCTTCAATTTCTCTTCACACAATACGTCTCCTTGCAGTATCAACACTAATTCGGCTGACTTTTATATTTGATCCAATTGGTAGATAGGTAGCAGTGCACAGCTGATAGACAGGGACTTGTAGTTTTTAAAGATATTACTGATTTTCTTTGAATATAAGAATGTAAATACTGAGTTGAGAGAATAGTCAGGGGTTTTGGGTGATGGGAGACACATCTATGGATTCAGAATTCCAATAGCTTACCATTAAATGACAGATATACCTTTCTGTCTGTGATGTTTTACAAATCAGATATTAATGTGTAGAAGTAAAACATGTCAAATAATATAGCAATATCCTGTAAAATTATGTGAAAACATGAATAAAACTATACATCTTCAGATGTTATACATACATAAGTGTCCTACACTAATAATAAAAAGTATAATTTGTTGTGTTAACACTTTAAACTTGACAGTTTTTTAACCCGCACCGCCTAGTGGTTAAAGCACGTTATTGAATTATTTTTTGTTGAATATGTTATATTTGATGAAAAAAATATTAAGAGTACATACATAGGGGGAAGTAGAAGGTCAATGATAGAAATATAGAATATAAAAAAGTCAAGAAGATACTGTAAGTGATCTCTACAATAAAACAGTTTAGTGCAGGATGTACAAAGATATTAATAGGAGGATGTACAAAACAGAAAAACTAATTAACCTTTATTTGAACATTAAAGAATACTTTAGGTTAAGGTCTTCTTTTAAATAAGAAAAAAGCTTTGGGGGTATCTACAGATAAATATTAAGCCTGACAAAGTACTTAACGTCTAATATATTGCTTTCCTGCAATGTTAACTATGTTGAAGCACTTACTGTATTTTAACTGATATTATACATATTTATTATACTCTTATAAGATGTATGTAGATAGTATAAGAAATGTGCAGAATATGACAATGTAATGATGGAGGTATACACACATATTGATAGATGTCTTGTAATGCACTGTTGAGGAACCTGTGACCCAAGTTTTTCATTCATTGCATAACTACACCATAGTTGTGTATATGATATGTCAATAAGCCTTTGAAAATCTTGAAATCTTGAAAGGGATGTGCAAAATAGCCATTATATACAGTCTTTAATTAACTATTAATAGAGAATAACGAGTAATGAATATACTTCATAGGGATCTGCAGATAAATGTTTAGTCTTCTCAAGCAGCAACTATCAAATATCTCTCCTGATTGTTGGCACTTGACAATCACCTTCCCTGCATTTTATTCAGGTGTAACTAAAGTCTGATTTAAGGGTTGTTTATATTTCACATCATTAATCACAATCTGCAAAGTAACTAAAATGAATGTAGTGGAGTACAAATACCAGTTTAACCTCTGAATTGTAGTGGAGTAGAATTACAAAGTAACAATGAACTGTCATGTGGGTATATTAATGCTGCCCATTATGGACACAAGCAATTTTCACCCATGTATTAATTATATGTTTTAAATTTGCACCAATGTGTTTCTTATCCCCTAAACCTCCAGGGGTGTACACAGTTTAATACCGGCGACTTCTAATTGTGGGAAAAACGGAAACGTCTTTTAAAACTGCAATTCCCAGTAGAGACGTGCCCAGTGCTTGAATTGGAATAAAAAAGGTGCCAGTACTCTAAATCAGCAACTGTTTCAAGTCAATTTTATTTATACAGCCCAAAAACAAGAATTTGGCTCAAAGGTCTTTACAATCTGTACAGTATACGACTCCCTCTATCCTTATCCTCATATCTATGATTCAAAACTTTAACAGACAAGGAAAAGTTTTTTTTTTAAAACAGAATATTTACTGTAACGTTCAGAAATTGCATGTTTTTCCACGACTAATCAGGGAGGTGTCTGGGGCTCTCATAGAGAACATGACGTAGCCTATACATGTGCCTGCATCAGGTCATATAGTATATCCTGTAATACTGGTGGGTTTGTCTCTTTACTGTATATTTTAGAAAGGCTCACTGTACTCAAAAAAAGTATGAAAGGCAGCGGATATGGCTAAAGCCTGACTCCTACTGGCGGCTGGTTAAATGACTCCTCGTCCCTGAGTACACTCATGCATCTTTCAGCAGGTAAGGAGAGAGGGAATCAATGAAGCTGTCAGGGAGGACACATGCGTCATGAGGTGCCGGTACGCAGTAAGAAGTAACGGTATATTCAGATGGGTAAAAATCAGAAGTCCCGGTACTGCGTACCGATGAGTACCGGCCCAATTCAAGCACTGGACGTGCCATAGAACATGTTGCAAAACACAATAGCCAGCATGTGTATGAAATTCCATTTCATAGAGCTGTTTGACGCTCGGCGTAACCTTGGCACACTGCCACTCCAACATCCAATCACAGAGCTTGAAGATTAATCACAGGGTTTGTCAAGCAAAGGGACTGTAGTCCCAAACGATAGCTGAGGATTATGGGTAGTGTAGTGTCTTCGGCCATAAACTCCGAAAAACTATTTGTTTCTCTGAATCGAAGGGGGAAAACACAAAAGCATTGCACACAATTTAAACCAATCAATGTTGTGTAACAAGGATAAACTGATGTTTTTAGTTGATGAGTACTGCAGATTACTATGCAAACTTCGAGACCGGAAATACTGTTTTCACCCCAAGCTGTTGCCTGGCAACGCAATTCTGTTGATAGTTATTTAATATCGCATTAACACCATATCCCAACGTGCATTGCGGCTAAAACATCCAATCACCGAGCTTCAACCATAGCTGAGGATCTTGGGTAATCAGTTCAGTGGGTGTGTATCGCCCATAGATATATATAAACACGTGTTTATATATATCTATGGTATCGCCTACGTCTGTTTCCGGTGACTTTATTTTTAAATTCAGTTCCTGACGGACGGCAAAAAAGCCCGATATTATAGAATTAAACAAATAAATAAAAACAAGGATAATTGTGTGTTATTGTTGAGTAAATAAGAGTGTGTTATTTAGAAAAGAATAACAAATTAGAAGGAAAAAAAGATTGAAAAAATACAGATTTCAGTATTCTGAGGCTCTGAGCCCCATTTATTTTCCTCACGGACATTATATGATTTAAAATAAAAACAATAATCGTGGCTTGATATTGAGTAAGAAAATGTTTTTATGAACCACACAGCTTCTGGTCTTCCAAGACCCGACCGGACAAAGAGACGTGGTGCAGGCACGAAACACACTACCAATAGAAATACATTGCTTTTAAAATCGTTCTGTGTGACACGAAAAAAATGCGAAAATCGTGTTGGTGAACACGAATCAATAGATTAAATGTCGTGACTATAACACGAAATGCCGTGAGACTGGGTTGTACATTCTGATATGTTCTGTGGCTTTGGATGTTTTTGTCCTCTTTCACGATACATCTTCCAATAAATCCGGGTAGGTTGCAGGGAAATATAAATGCCATCTCGATTCCATCTTTGTTTTCAATCAGTTCCTCATCTATCAGCTGCTCAGATTGTTTCAGTTCAGAACAACATCAAATCTGAGTCCTTCCATTATTTCACAATGTGGATTTGTGGAATTGTTCCATAATGAACTGGTTCATTCCATTCAATTGGAGCTGAACGGCCGTCGTCATGTAACACTCTGGTAGCAATGCAAAGTCATTTTGTTTTGTGTGTGTGTGTGTGTGTGTGTGTGTGTGTGTGTGTGTGTGTGTGTGTGTGTGTGTGTGTGTGTGTGTGTGTTGATTGTAGGTTGCTGTCCAGAATGGCGGGGTTGAAGGAGCAGCAGTTCACGGAGGAGAAGCCCCTGCTGCCGGAGCAGCGAGGGGCCGACTCAGACATGGTCAGTGCATCTGCTTTATTTATGTGTGTCCCCCGTCGTTAACCCTCCCTGAATAGTGTGTTCAGGAGGAATGACGTTTGGTTTATTGAGACAGATATCTTTGTGCATACTTGCTATATGGCTTATAATAAGACTATATGCTTGTTTACAAGCAGAAAAATATATTAATTCATTCAACCATGACGCTGTGACTATGAACAGATAAAAGCTCATTTAAGATAATTGGAGAACAAACAGAGAAGCGAAACAGAACAGAGAGCAGGCATTGTGTGGTTTCATAAAGGCCACTTGTTCCAGTCCACTTATCCATTACCTGAGCAACAGGTCGTGTCTCTATCAGGAGCCCTTGAATGTTTGAGAGCCACTTGTTGCAGAAAATATATAAATGGTGGAGAGAACTTCACATAAAAGCAACAAAAGGAGTAGGATTAGTGCTTGAAATGACTTATTTCCTCCTAAACTTTCAAATCAATATCTATGTGAGGTGAGTTGCTTAAAACTCTTAAATGAAAATGTAAATTGGGAAGTTCAGAGGGGGATTGTTAAATAAGAAAATAATGGATTATTTACTCAACATCAGCATTGCCGAATTCAGACGGAAGATGGAAGCATGGCAAAGCAGTGATTATGTTTTTTAAATTATGTGAATATTCCAAGAAGTCAGTTTGGTAAGAGAGATGGCAGAAACACAGAGACAGAGAGAAAAGAGGTGAGAGTAGATAGAGCAAAAAGCTTTGTCTTTATCAGATCTTGGAAAGGACAGAGCCATTAAAACAATTATGGCTCCCATCAAGGAACCATATTTCTCATAGAATACTGGTCTCTTGCGTGTTAGTCCTTTGTTTTTTTTCAAACCCATCAACTCTGACATCTTTACGGAGTTTTTCACTCTTTATATGTCCCCTGACTTCTGCCTTTTCTCTTGCCATAACTGCTACAGTTGCTAGGTCAGTGTTGTCTTGTCTTATTTCTTCTTTTAAGAGGACATATTCTGCTTATTTTCAGGTTCATATTTGTATTGTGTGCCTTTACTGTGACATGTTTAGATACTTTAATGTTCAAAAAGTACTATTTTTCTCATAATGTCTGTGCTGCAGCAGCTATGTTATGAAATGTAATGGACAGTCTATAAGTACAACAGTTTTAACATAATAGCGCTAGCTAGCGACTTAGCCGACGCTAGCACTGTGTCGCAACTCAACTTCTACAACAGGTCCACACTTAAACCCCCATTAGTCGCTACATTTCTGTTTCAAACATAACAAAGCCACAAGGAACAAAGTCTACTCATAGGTTGTGACTGAATCACCAGATTGGCCAAACAAAGGAGGAACTGCCCGTCTTTCATCATGAACTGTGTAGTACTGAGGAAACAGAAAACAAAGGAGTCCAATGCAGGGGGTTCATGTGGGAGAGGATCTCCCTCTGAAGGGAACTTTGAGATTTTAGCCTTTGCAGACCATTATCACATGTGTCAAACTCATGGCCCGGGGGCCAAATCAGGCCCTTGGTAGATTTAATTTCGGCCCGCAGGATAATTTCGAATTACTATTAGATCTGAGCCTGAGCCCAAACATTGAGGAACTTGCACCCAAGATGAGATGCCAAGTATCTGGCTTGAACTAGCATCACAGAGCAGCAAGCTGAGTTTCAATGGATGTTTCCTTCTAGACTTTTTTTCTTGTGACAACAGGGCATGTTTGTTTTTCTCTTTGAGGGAAATAGTTTTTTGGAAGCTGTTGTTGGCCTGTGGACAAATGTAATCATAAGAAATGACTCCGGAAAAGCTGCAGATAGAGCCATAAGAAATGAATGCAACTGATTATTTAATGTTGTTTTTATAGGCAATAATTTAAGCTTTGTTAGTTCCAGGTTTAATATGTGCAATAAGTTCATTTCAATAAGTTCTGCAAGAAACATTGCACCAGTCCAGCCCTCGACTAGTACCCATTTTTTTATTTTGGCCCACTGTGTATTTGTGTACACCCCTGCTCTTCAGTACATGCATAAAGAGCTATACACTGTATAACACATTACTAAAGAGAAAAAAGGGACTGCCTCCACCCCCAAAAAGGGCATCTTTAAGTTATTAAACATCGGAATGATACATTTACTGGTTGAATGAGCAGGCCCCTTCTCACCCATATTAGGCTGATAACCTCCGAAAACCATTTTATTGGCTGATAACAATCAGTAGATTTGTATTATTGTGGAAAGCAAACCGGTAGCTAAATGATATCTACTCAGAAGAATAGCATGGAAACATATTCTTCTGCTCCAGATAAGCCTCTTACTTCTGCTGGAAGAACTTTTGTTGTTAGTCATGACTCAGTCGGCCAGTGTGTCAGAAATGAAACATTGCACCCAGGAGAGACAGTCATACTGAGGGCTTCACAAGAAGTGTGAGTGTGCATCAACATGGATTATTCTTCTATTGGTCAGCTGGTCCAGCATAAGGTCATTAGATCTGCTCAATGCGGCTCGCAGCTGCTGCCGTATCGATCAGCTTACATGTTAGCATGACTCAGCAGGTCACTTAGTTTGTTGTTCTGTTGAAAATAACTTCAACAAAGAATAACTTGCAGTTTCACTCCTTTATCTCGCCTTAGTTTTTTTAAATATATGAATTGGGCCACCAGTTCAAGATTCAGGTCCTCCACATGGGGACTTATCCTCAGTACATAGGCCACCGGCACTATGTGAGCTAAACGGCTATTTTATATTCACTCGTATTTTAATAATAAAGTTAATTTAAGTGAAACAAATACTATTTTTCACAACTAGCACTATAGAGCACTGGATTTACAAAAACGTTTTATCTGTATCTTGGCACACATTCAGATTGAATTTTTTTTCATTTTGTTATCGACACTGGGTGGTGTTAGTACACCAAAAATATATAGTAGCGCACTAACCAAGGCAGTGAAGATACATTTGTAAATCTAATTATGTTTCAAAGTAACTAAGGCCGTAGCTATTGAGGACACCGAGGTGACTTTTTAACATTTGTTTATATTGGACCAAACATAAATCAATCAATTGATTGGCATTCCTCCACAAGGATTTTATTTATTGAATAGTGTAGAGTTCTAAGAAGTTGTGAAACATAACTTAATATTGAAAACTTTAGATAAAAAATCTCTAAAAACGAAGTCCTTGTTTTAGGGTTCGGGGAAAGCTTGGACTTCTGACCTCAGTGGATGTCAACGGCCAAGAGAGCTTACATTTAAAGTGTTTCCTGTGTTAAATGAATTCAGTGTATTCCTGATTTTGAGGTGCACCGTTCAATTCAGCAGGTCTCTGTGTAAACATGTTCCTCTATCAAAGGGCTGCAGCTTGACCTTTCTGGTGATGCAAAACAGAAATGAAGCAGAAGGAGGCCAGAGCGATCTTCTTTGGAGTTTTTAACGTTGAGTGTGTAAGATTTAGTGGCATCTAGTGGTGAGGCAGCAGAATGCAGCCAACCGAATACCCCTCCCACCTCCCTTTCCAAGTGTGTAGAGATTCTACAGTGGCCTTTAGGCCACGTAAAACACAAGACACCCTTTCTACAGCCAGAGTTGGTTTGTCCATCCTAGACAACTGTAGAGTCATGGCGGTGCAACATGGAGCTACGTATGCCGATATGACGAAAACATAGCATTTCTTTAGGTGAATTTAAACTAATAAAAAACGTAGTTATGAATATTTTATTCCATGTCTGCTAATAGATCCAGCTGAATCCTACACACTGGACCTTCACAGGCCTGAGTAAAACTCCATGAACTTTGCATGAGAAGATGAATGTTGAATCAAAATGTTACTTTGTTGAATGTTGCTGCTCTTCTCCCCGGCTGTTTCCCAATAATCACCTTGTCTTTGTTGTTTACAACACAGCAGGACAAAGGAGGGGAGGCATCGGGGGGGTTACCGTGCCCCGCTGCGCCCCCCACCAACCCCCCTCCCCCCAGCCGCTCAGCTCACCGCTGGCATGTGATCGCACGCCACTGGCTCCGCACGACCCGCAGTCGGGCCGGCGGGGTCATCCCGGTAATACCAGAACTTCCAGGAGCAGCAGAAACACAGACACACTGAGACAACACACACACACTGAGACAACACACACACACACACTGAGACAACACACACACACACACACACACACACACACACACACACACACACACACACACACACACACACACACATACACACACACACACACACACACACACACACACACACACACACACACACACACACACACACACACACACACACACACACACACACACACACACACACACACAGCTGTGTTTATTAAAGAACTTAACCATGGAGGAAAAGTCATAAGAACGTATTTATCAGTTGATAAAATGAAGTCCTTATGTTTTCATTTCTGTCAGTCCCTTTGTATGACCACAGGACTTTTTCCTTTAGTTGCTTCCACCTACTGGTAACCACTACTGAAAAGCCCCCATGCTGCATAGTAGTAACACTTACCCAGTACAATACAGTGTAAGTAGGATAACTGCGACTTCTTTAAGTCAATACAAATACTTTACTAAAATAAAAATACCAATAGACTGTAAAAAAAAACACACAGGTAGAGTAAAAGAGTTATACAGTAGAATGATATACTTTGAATTGCTTATTATTACAGCAATATATGATGTGGCTGGTCAAAGCTATTTTCCACTACTTCATAAACTGTTGGGTTGTTTATTTGTTAATAATACACTTTTTTAGATGACCATGTATTTGTTTGAACAATTTTATTGTGAATAGTTATTATGGTTGACAAATAAATGTAGTGGAGTAATAGAAAACTAAATAGACTAATATTTCCCTCTGAAATGTAGTTCGCTTTAAGTAAAGAACAAATGTAGCATTTACAGTTAAGGAAGTAGTAGTTAGTCGCTAAAGTAAAAAATAGCAATAAATTGTAAGATCAAATTGAAAAAACAGAAAAAAGAGTAAAGACAGCCACATATTATCAATGAAGTTACATTACAGTCCCAGTAGAACAATATCATTTGTATTGAAATGTAGCAGACTATAAGTAAAGCACAAATGTAACATTAAATGTAAATTCTTAAATGAAGTACATCATTACCAAATAGCTTTAAAGTAGAATACATCCGTACAGTTATTGAGTGATGGTGTCTCTTTCTTTCTACATCATTTATAAATAAGTCACCAATTTATAACGTTTGTTTATATATCCCTAATCCTAACACCATTTTGCTGTTGAACACATTCTCTAACAACAGAAGCCTGCATAATTCATCCTACTAACCAAATAATACGATTATCTTTCCTCCACCAGAAATAGAACAGACAATAGGAGGATTTACATGTATGGATCTTTTCAGTTTCTGAAAACGGAATGACATTAGGATCAAAAACAAATCAAATAATGAAGTCCTATCCTCGTAGACCTGCTAAATTTAGCTCTGCAGTAATTCTGTTTTTCAACCGAGACATCCTCTTGAAAAGCCCAAAATCTAGGGCAAAATCTGCATTCACAAAACCAGCCTGCAGTCACTGAGATCCGAGAGGGAAGCAACAGCAGCAGTGAAGGATCTGTCTCTGCACAGCGTTACACAACACACCTGAGGACACACACTCTCACACATCCATGGAGAATGTCTCTCTCAGGAACTATGACATATTAGTTCACATCTTTCCAAAAACAACCAAGCCACACATTCCCTCCCCACCGTGCACAGTGGCTGCACATCCTCAAACATGGGGTTATAAGAAAGAGAAGAGTGCCACCTGCTGGTCCGACCACTGTACTGTCCTCACTAATATCTCCCCTTTAAAAGATCATTTGCATGAGATCCACAGAGCCTGAAGCTGCCCTCTCTGTGGAGTTGATTGGAGTTCTTCATCTTCATGCTGCAGTGTTGATACACTTGCATATCTGAGAAGCTCATACATAGAATTTGACACGTCATGTTGTTCATGAAGGGCAGCTTCAGGCTTTCCCTTTCTCTCTCTTTAGGTGTGTCCCTGATCTGACTGTGTGACTCCTGTCCTTTCTTTTTCCACTCATCACTGCTAATAACTTCACATGTGACTTTATTTACTCCCTGATCTTTACCCATCACTTTTCCTTTTGTATGTGTGCTGTGTCTATTTGGAATCCTGTCATATTTTCTTTCAGATGTAACACAAAAATGATAATATCCTCTACTTTTGCATGTTTAATAAGGCAGCAGTGTGCAACCCATCCATGACAGTTGTGATGGTGACTAACCCTACGGCGGCCGACAGGTGTAAATGCGATACAAAGGCCCAAAACATTTCCAATATGAGAAACTTGTTGCAGCTGCAGAAACGATGCAAATATAAAAACAAATCAAATGAAGAAAAATCTTGACTAACTTGACAACACATGCAGCATTTAGAAAACATTCCCCAACTAGACGAAACATGTGCAGCATTTACTAAAGCACTGCATAAACCAGGGGTGTCAAACTCAATTTAATGGCGGGCCACATCAGCATTATGGCTGCACTCAAAGGGCCGGTTGTAACTTATATATAAATATATATATAAAATGATGTATTATATTACATTATTGCCTCTGCATTGGATTATTATCTGATAGGGTAACTTCATAATTAACTACGTCTGAAAGCAGAAGTCTGGGGCAAATAATTGCAAGTCTCTTCAGTGAGAATGTCACAAAATGATTTAAAAAGAAAAGCTGGAAAAAAAGTCAAAAACAGAAGTGACATTTAAAAAAAAAGGAAGTGACATTTAAAAAAAAAGGAAGTGACATTTAAAAAAAAAAGGAAGTGACATTTAAAAAAAAGGAAGTGACATTTAAAAAAAAGGAAGTCAAATTCTGAGAAAAAAAGTCTAATTTGAGATGCATTACGGGACGTGTAGTTTATGGGCAACGTGCTTCTGTAAATCATCATGTAACCGGATAATAAACATATTATATTCTTTGCAAGCTCTTGTGGGGCCACAGAAAATGAAGTCACAGGCCGGATTTGGCCCCCGGGCCTTGAGTTTGACACCCCTGGCATAAACAGATACAAAACGCTGCAAGAAGCTCAAAACCCAACGGAGACCAGGGGACACTAAAAAGTGACGCACACAGCTGGGACCGGAGCTCTGCCGGTCAACAGAGTTAGTCTGTCTCATAACTGTAAGTGTTTGTCAGTATATCTGAAATGACTAGGTTAGCTACATTAGCTAGCTAGCGTACAACAGATCTGCTATAATATCAGAAGGAGTCATGTGATCACATTGTTAAAATAAGACAATAAAAGTTACATTTTGGGTCAGTTTCCAGTGACAGTTGGCCAAGCAGGTGTGTTCGTCACTTTTTAGTGTCCCTTGGTTTCCGTTGTGTGTTGAGCTTCATGCAGCGTTTCCTTTATGCAGAGCTTTTTAGTAAACGCATGTTTTGTGAAGTTGGTGAATTTTTTCTAAAAGCTGCATGTGCTGACAGCTGTCAAGTTGGTGAACAAGGTCCTTCATTTGCAAGTTTTGTACAGATTGTTTTAGGAGTGTTTCTCCTAATGAAAGTGTTTTGGGCTGTTGAGGCCGCTGCATCTGTCAGCCACCATTCTTACCTCATATCCATGTCCTGCATTTTCTCACCAGATGATGTTCCTGCTCTGCTCTAAACTTTCATTAAAGCAGAGCAGGAATGTTCTCTAACTGTAAATGACATGTGCTGATATAATACAGGTTAAGATCAGTAAAACCTTCACTATTGTGTTAAAAATGACAAAAAGAACACAACAGAAATTAGTTTAAGTGTCATTTTTAAGCACATCAGTATGAACCTGTTTTATGTCAATAGCCTACGTATCTTAAAAAATGAATGTCAAGACCAGATTCCTTAAAAACAGAGCACTGCAAGATAAAACATATTTGCTTCAAGATTTGTTTCTCAAAAATATTTTGCCTGATGTAAATGTCAAACATAGCTGTCGCTTCTTCTGACGCCAGCTTGTCATCAATTGGTGTTTCTAAAAAATGTTTAATCTATTTTGGCAGTCGAGGAGTTACAATGCCTCACAGGGATATTGACTTCCCTTGCCACTGTGTTAGATGACACAAATATTGAATACCCAGATGCCCCGGCGCATCTGTGTTTGCAGGAGCTGAATGCTGAGCTGCTTGCTGTGGAGGAATCTGTTGTCTCTCTCATCCTGTATCTTCTCTCACTGTTTACTGCTGATGCAGTCTCCCACACGCACTACAGCAGATGATCTGTACTGCTCTTTACACTGAGATACACTGTAATAATAAATACATTTGGCAATATCCAAAGGCATATAAGTGTGTCCAAAGGATGCTTTAAAGGGGCACTCTGCAATATGAGTTAGCGGGCCAGGAAAAGTGCTAGTACTCCTTTGAAAATATATGAATCATGTCTTCTGACTCTGGAGGGAGCATTTCAAAGTCACACAACATAACCCTGAGGATGTCAGAATGATGTCATCCAGACAAACACAAACATACAGACTGTTGCTGTGTTATTTGTACCAGATCCAGATCACAGCAAATAGCTGGCTGCACTATGGAAACTCATCTTGTTTGTAAGAACACATTGTGTAATCAGTCATTGACCAACATGAATTAATTGCGTTATAAATATATCTAATACAATTCATGCAGGATATCAGAAGATGATCTTTCCTTGGAAAATATGTCATCATGTTGTTAAACTGTATACTTAAACATGTATTATATCATTATGATTTAATAGTATAAAGCTATACATTTCATAGTGAACAAATTGCAACCCTTGCATTTTGTAATAACTGCTGCAATATGCTATAATTTATAACAAAATGTGAACTTGTGTCCATGCTGGTTATGAAAACATTCAGCAGCTTATAAACAAAATGATTATTTGTACATAATGAAGTGGAAATACATCATCCTATGTCCATAATTCGTTTTTTCAATATAATTATTATAGCTTGACTTCTGGTGCATCACTCGACCATTCAATTTGAAAACAGTAGGAATGTTGGCACCACAAGTTCAAACACACATAGTACAGTTTTATTATGAAAGACTTGGCTTTTTGTGCCTGAAAGGAAGCCAATAATGCCAAATGTTATTTACAATGTACAATGTGTTCAGAGACAGTTGAACCTGTAGCACTGTACTGCTGAGGTGCTTCTGGGAAACTGTGTTTTTCTGTGGTTTGGACCTACTGTGTATCTCCTCTCTGTGTAGCAGCCTCCAGTGGAAGCACACGTTACAGCGAGAGGAATATGTGTGTGTGAGTTCACACTAATTATCTCCCTCTATTAACAGTGTCTCTCTGTCTTCTGTCTCTGCGTCTGCAGGAGAGCTGTGAACAGCTGATGCCTCCGGGGGATTGGAAGGTAAGATCTGATGTGTGTGCGCTGTTAGCATGATGCTCGCTTTGTTCTCTCCGGCAGTGGCTCAGTCAGTAGGGACTTGGACTGTGCGCCGTAGGGTCGCCGGTTCAAGTCCCCGACCAGAATTAAAATATGAAATGTGGACTGCTACTTGGAGAGGTCCCAGTTCACCTCCTGGGCCCTGTCGTGCGGGCCTTGAGCAAGGCACCGGACAACCCCCCAGTCCACAATCATAAAGTGGTGTTAATATGGGAGATTATCCTGCTGAACAACAAGTGTAAATCTCAGCATAAACAACGATTTTAAAGTTTGACTGCAGAACGAGATTGTGGTGAAAATTGGTAAAGAGAGAACACCCATGATGAGCTGGTTAATGCAGCTCGGAGTGAATGAATGTAGACCAGTCCTCCTGCTGGAACTTGCACTGAGCTATCATATGGAGCAAAGAAAGAAAGTGGCATGGATGTTTCAGGCCTTAGTGCAGCAGGATGGCACTGGGTGGTCGAGGCCTGGAGAGCATCCAGGTTGGAGCAGAGGCCTGTACGACGAAGCTGGTTCAACATAACCTAGATATGTTTGGGTTAGCCAGTTGGCCTAATCCAAAACATACGCGCTCTCGCTAAGCGGTCCTACGACGCGGGTTATCAAGTGGATCGCTCAAGCCAGCCGTGTCCTATCTAGTTAGGTGCGCGTTCACATGAAAGGGGTGGTATTTGGAGCATTCGACCAATCACAAACATGGACAAGCGTACTGACAGCGCAGCGTCATACTTCCTGAATGAAAAGTCTACTATAATATTAGAACATCCATGACTTAAACACTTTATCCAGGATAAAAGCCACATAGCTGCACCTGCAAGGTGAATACAGCTGGTAAAAGAAAAAGCGTTTGAATGCGTACATTGACAGGTTTATGATATCACTGCCCCGTCTAAGACACGATCTGACTTTAATTACATTTGACTCGAGTGTTTCGTCAACTTAATGTGTTGCTTAAAATAATACTTCTGCATACAGTATGTGACACTGTGAGTGTTGCACGGCCAGATACGGCTCAAGAAGCTGATTCAGATAAGGAAATATATGATACATTATGATGTGATATGATATGAATGATAATGGGACACATCGACGTCTGCACCTGCAACGGCAGTTTTTCTGTATTTCCTCTATCCTGTAATATGACTTGATAGCTTTAAACTCCGCACACGGAGCTCTGATTGGTCAGCAGGCGGTGCTTTCACTGAGTTGATCTCTTAGCCTGCAACCTAACCTCCTCCCGAGGAGGTTAGCCGCTCAGCATAAGTTACCATGGAGATCTAGCCCGCTAAAAAGAGAACCAGCGTCGTAGGACCGGAAACCCCGAGTTTTCCCTGAAGTTAGCTCGCTAAGCGAAAATCCGGCTTCGTAGTACAGCCTCTGGTCTCTCTTTCTGAGAATCAGATCAAAATCAGAATACCTTTATTAGTCCTTCAGAGGGGAAATGTACATTGTTACAGCAGAAAAGAGCCAAAGACAGCTTAATGTTAACTAAGAAGCATGCATAAAAAAATATTAAAGATTTAAAAAAATAAATAAATTACACAATTTACAAAATACACATCCTGTAACAGTTCTGAGGAGAGTTTTATAAATTGTTGATTGAGTCAGTATCCACCTTTTTTAAATGTATTAACTGCTATAAGTCTGTCAACCTCCAACTGAAAAAACACTAACAAGGGTGACGAAAGTAGTAGTGACTGTGAGCTGTAAAACAAGTGACTCATTTCCATACTGTATGTGTCAGTACTAAACCCCTGCAATTAGAATTGATGTTCTGGCCGTGCTGGAGCCCCGCCTCAAGCAACCGTTAGCCAAAGCTAACAGATATAAATGATCTATTATACCCTCTGCCATTTCACTGCTTAACACCTGGAAGTATGGGGAGCACATCTGCACTGGCTAATGTGACAGAAGACCTTATCATAAAACGCACCAACTGCACTGGTGGCAAATCTTACTCCAAACTAAATGAGAAGGTTGCTGCCATGATTGGATCCTCACTGAAACCAGCTTTTCATTCCCTTGTTAATACAGATGTGGAGAGCAGACATGGTTTAGAGATAAAAGACTCAGGGTGTCCACTGCAGAGACATAATGATGGCTTTTAGCTCCCCCATAATTCAGTTTAATATCTATTTATATCAATTACGCCATCACTTTAAAAAGATCTCTGTTTTATTTTTCTTCTTTAATGAAGTTTACATTCACGCATGTAACAGCTCCGTTGGTTTATTTTAGTCTGACGTGCTGAGGGAGAGATCACACGTCATGAAACACCTCTCTTTCACACTTAAGTCTTAAGGTCTCTATAAATATTTCTGCGTTTGAATAATACAGTTATTCTGCTTGTTGGCTGCATTTGAGATAAAGGAGTCTGTGTTAGGCTAAACTGTGTTTAATCAAAAACTTTGGAATAAAACTGTTATAGTATTTGAATGAAATGGTTCATTTTAATGCCAATGCTTGTACAAAATAATTATGGAAGGATTTAAAATGTGCTTAATGCTGCAATGCATAGTTTGATTCTGCTCCTCATACATGGAAACACATAGGCTGGTTAGTTATCTTATTGTAAGACAAACACACTGACTTGCCTCAGCCTTCCTCAGCACACACTGCAGACACACTGCCAACACGTGTGCATGCACCAAAGGAAGTTGTTCAAACACATAGATCACAGTAAAACCACAAGTTTCCATCTTTGCAAATCCTACGGAAGCCCTGAGAAAAAAATGATTTATTGACCTATTTTTCTCTCCTGTGTAAATAACTTCATTACTTTGGGGGACAGTAGCTCAGTCTGTAGGGACTTGGCTTTGGACAACACTGCTTGGGAAGCATAGGGTCGGACCAGAAATACAGAGTGTATTAACTGTCACTGCTGCCAGGCGCCATAACAATGACTTAATCAATTTAGATTAAGATATGTTTTTCCAGGATCATTATTATTAGTCCAATTTAAAACATGTGGTTGTTGTGTATTTCAGCCTCTTATGGCAACAATGTTTATTATACTGTAACAACACATATTTCATCCTGAAAAAAGAAAGAAATGTGCCTATTTTCACAGATGTTAACATATTACAGGATCATTTTGGACAAACCATTTTTCTACAAAAAACGAGTCTAGATGTTCATATTTTGATCTTGAGACAGAGTCAAACTATTTGATTAACATTGCTTCTGGTCTTTTTGTATTATTATTATTATATTACTCTAGGACAGAGACATTTCAAACAGATTGGAATGTGGGTATACTGTATGTTACACAATAGTAGAATATTACAATAGAAAGACTGACTGTAGATGTTCATGTAGAAGAAGATCTGTAGTGATTTTCCGCTGTAGGGACGCAGCCTTGTCGAGTCAGTTAGAGCATGAAGGCGTCTGAGTCATCACTGATATTTATGGCAGTGGGTATAATGGAAAAACCAAACAGAAGGGCGGTTGGCAGGGAAAATAATGAATGAGTAAATAAATAAAAGGATACAAACAAGACGAGAAAAACTACAATCCAATTCTCCTGATAACGATCTACTCATAATCTTCTCAACAGTGGAGTGATGTCAGTGAAGTCAGTTTTTCAGCACTGTGTCTCTGAATGGTATGTGTTTGAGTTTATTGTTGCATTAGCTCTCTGTTAAATCAAGAGACACTCGTCTCAAATTCTTTTCACTAATTGTTCATCTTGTTTGTTTTTTTCTGGGTTGAGTGTTACCTGTTTTGTTCAAATGCGTTTTCAGTTTTTCCATTAAACAGTTGTCTTAGCAATAGTTAGGGCAGCGGTTCCCAACCTGTGGGCCGCAGCCCCTAGTGGTCCACGAAGGCATTGCATTATTATTATTATTATTATTTTTTTTTTTGTACAGGCTAAAGACACAAATGTGGACATAACAATAACATATAGGAGATGACATTCCTATCTCAGACGAAAACAAAACAAAAACAGAAGAAATAAAGATACAGTCAGTAGGATCACAAAAATAGGTTGACAACCAAATACCACCAAAAACACAACATGGCAAGCATATTTATTGTTCCTTTAATCCCACTCTTCGTTCGAGCTCATTATTTCCCATTTCATGGCGTGTTGAGTCACCCTTTGATTTTTAGTGGCAATACATTTTCCAAAATAAATGTAATCTACTCTTCAAACACCTTAATATTACATTAAGGTGTTAAGATTACTTCTTGATTGACTTTTAAAAATATGTATTTTAGCCAGAAGAATAGTTGTATTTATTAACTGTGTGCGGTGCTCATCTAAAAGCCCAAATAAAATATTAAGGGGGGTAAATGTAAATTCAATATTTGCCGCCAAATAATTTGCAAAACATTATGATTTGTGTGGAAACATTTTAATTATTAAGATTTCTTTTTATTTGAACCTCTTTTCCTTTCTCTTTCTTGATCCTCCTGAGCAACGGTCCTTACAGTCCTTGACAGCGGTCTGTTCCACTGGATTAACAACGTGTCACATGTTCTGAATCGACCAATCAGAACTTTATTTAAAGGGCCCATGTCATGGCCATTTCCACTGATCATAATTACATTGTTGAGGTATACTAAAATAGATTTATACTGTGCAATTTTCCAAACTCACATTGGTTTCGCATACAGCATCTCTGTCAAGCATGTGTATTCAGCAGTATTCACTTTCTCCACTAAACGACTCGTTGGAGCTCTTGCCCCCCCCCCTCCCTGTGAGCCTAGTGTGCTCCGATTGGTCAGCTCGGCCACTCGTTCTGATTAGTCAACCACCAGAGAGGCTGCGCCCATGTCAGTGCTTTTCCCGGCTGCTCTCAGCGTAACATCAGTCTTATCATGGCGTCGGTACAGCGGTATATTTTATATACATATATATTTTTAACTGTTGTTATAGAAGAGTGTGACGGCCTCAGGGCCTTTGTCTTACGGTGGGGTGGAGCTGAAGAGGGTAATCAGCGCGATCACGGACACCT